GGGAAGGTTTGGGAAGGTTTGGGCAGGTTTGGGAAGGGAAGGGAAGGTTTGGGAAGGTTTGGGAAGGGAAGGTTTGGGAAGGGAAGGGAAGGTTTGGGAAGGGAAGGGAAGGTTTGGGAAGGTTTGGGAAGGGAAGGTTTGGGAAGGGAAGGGAAGGGAAGGGAAGGGAAGGGAAGGGAAGGAAACCTAGCATCCTTCTGGATTACTTGCGGAACACACTTGCTTCTTCCTAGACAATAACTGCTTTTTTCAAACCCTTCTGCTATTACCTCTCTTAATTATTCAGCATGAGAAACCTGCCAAAATTTTCTCTCAGATACTTTTGAATGTCGTGCCACTGTTTGAGAATAAAGTCTGTGTGTGAGTGAGCAGATTTTGCCAATTGGGGATTGTTATTTTTAGAATGGGCATGATAAGCTTCTACCAGGCACCATCCACAGCCAGCCACGTCCATGCAGAAGTGTAAATAAACCTCAGTGTTCGCTGGAAGATCTTGATTTTTTTTTATTTAAATATGTTCTCTAAAATAACACTTTGAGGGCTATGGTGGGAAAGGGGTTCCCTGCTCCACTCTGTCCTTCCAGAAACAACAGACAATGAAAATGGCCTTTTTTTTCTTTTTTATTTTTTCTGTGCACAGTGTTGTTTTTGTCCTTGCCAAAATTAGTTCAAAGACATTTATTGCTGGCAACAGGCACTGAGGGCTGGCCTGGTGGTTTTCCGCAGAAGATGAGACAGGGTGTTCCCACCTCAAAGTGCCACAGTTTGACCATTAGAAGATGAGGTGGAGTTTGCTTCCTGGCTACTGCAGCATGACCTTGGGTGCATCCCTTCACCTCTCCCTGCCTGCTCCCATTGTCTCTGGACAGTGCACTCCTAGTGGAGTCTTCCAGAGCTGGAGCTGGCTGTCATAGTGTGCACAACTCCTAGTACAGCAAAACATATTATTTCAATGGGATGGAGCAGCTCTTTGTCTAAGGAATTAAGTATACTCATTGCTACCAGACTCAAGTCCTCCACATATGAGTGAGGCAAAGAAATGTGGGCTTAAAGGAGCAGCACCAGATAGAGGACACAGGTATCTGCTAGCTGTGAAGTCAAGCAAGAGTGGGTCTATTTCCTTCCGCTCTGCCTTCCTGATGTGTTTCAGCCCAAACCTGGGAAAAGGACCCCAGGGAGCAGGCTATTTTGAGGCTTCTGGGCTGGGACTTTTCTGCTGTGATTACCCTGGAGGCATCTAATTAGTAACATTAGGGCTGCTTTTTCCTTCTGATCTCTGCAAGGAACCATACTGAGAAGCTACCAACTCATCTCATGCTGTCCCTACAAGACCTGCACAAGATCCCTAGCCAGCTAGCTTTTATTTCTCCCATGTCAACAAAAGAGGTTTGGGGGGTGGAATAGATGGACAGAAGGAGAGGGAAAGTGATTCACAGGGAAATAATGTATTCCTGTCATGCATTCAGAGAGTTAAAGAGCACATGTATACACACACATACACACACATGAGGCTGAGGGAGCAGTCTGAATAACTTTCAAAAGGCTTGCTTCATCTTGCTCCATGAGAGGGTAATGCTTGGCTATTTCTAAGATACAGATATTAAAATCTGCAGCACAGTCATTTAGAATTTCAAAGGATTCTTCTTCAGGGGGTAGAATACAAAAGACACCACAGTTATTCACATAATACAAGCAAGGCTGGGAAAACAGCAGTATGCCATTAGGTAAGACTGAGCAGAAAACCTTTCTGGAGAAGCCTAAGATGTATTCATTCAAAGTAAAGAAGTGACCCTGAAAATTTCTTGTATCATTTATCTGTGTAGATATGTATAAATGTAGGTGTATACATTTAGAGATATCTTTGTGTGGCTGTATTTTATATACCACTTGGAGAAGAGCTTGAGAGAGAATCTGAAATGTGTACTATGGTGCAGACAAGAAAAGGTGGGGAAAAAATATATATTCAAAATACATCACACATCATCCACACATCTACACAAACATACTCACATTTCTTTCACTGTGAGCTTTGCATGTCAATCAGCAGAAAACAAACACCAAAATGAAAACCAGGAGCTACTTCTGTTGAGTCTTTATGATAACGTCCTCCAACATCTCCCTGTTTTTGTTTTCAATGTGCTAAACTGACTGCATGGCTGGAGTGGCGAAGAATGCAAAGCTCACACATGTAAAGCATTCTGTCCTCTGACATACTATTACACAGAAGGTTCACAGTTCCCCCTTCTCCCTCCCCTTCCTGGTGTTGATGAATTACATGAGATGAACATCACAGATCTGGGTTTTTTAAACCGTGAGCTTAGGCAGCAACAACGACTGCAAAGCAGACACCATTGTCTGAACCTCTATTGTTTCTATTTCGGGAGCACATTGAGTGATTAGTTTGGGTAACAGTAACATCACATTACCTTCTACAGGCTGGAAATGTCTTTCAAAACTGAGGCAACGCTGAAGCCATGTGATACAATACTGTAGACAGAGCCAAGTGGAATACATCAAAGAGTGCCTTGATGCAGATGTTTCATGCAGAAGAAAATTAGGTCAGAGACCACTTCAATTTCAGCTTCTGCCAGGCTTGTTTGAGAGCTTCCAGTGAATTCCTAATGAATAGCTTCTAGGGCACTTTTCTCTCATTCAGTCACAAACTGCCATAGCCAGATGAGCTTTCCCTGTGGAATTTTTTCTCATTATTTAAAATACTAATACTTTGTGTTCACAGATTCCAGAATCTTCCTTACAACAATAGCAACAACTCCCCCTCCTTCATCACCCCTCCACCCCCAGTAAAATATGAGGGAAAAGGAAAAGGTGAGAAGAATAACAAATTGATACACAATGTCTATACAGGGAGTGGGGAGGGGAGGAAAAAAAAACCAAAACAGCTTTTTAGCAATTTTACATGGCAAATAAATACTTGGTAAGGGTCCTTCACAAATGCATGGCTTTTTCCATCTCAAATGTTTTTTGTTTTTTTTTTTTTGTTTTTTTTTTTGTTTTTTTTTTTAATGGCAAAGGGTGAGGTGCTTTAAAGATATTTTTACAGCCTGTGCACATCTCAGCTGGCACTGCCTGTGCTGTAGCCATTGGCCTGGTGCACTTCCAAAGGGAGAGCAGGGGATGCCTCAGACTCATACAAAGTTAGCCTACACAAAGCCTCCTGAGCTTCTGATGAGCTACAGTGCCCATCCTTCTCTCTCCTGAGCTCATTCCTCCTTTGTGAGTAGCTTTGTGGGCCTCTTCTGAAGGTCTCAACCAAAATGCAAGTGTAGTCACTAAGCAGTTTAGAGCAGGCTCTTCTTTAAAGCTGACTATAAGCTGAGCAGAGCATCTTGTGATTCCATATATGGCATCCATCAGGGACTGCAAGACCACAGCATGTAAAAATATAGACAATGACCTCGCACCTTCCTCACTGGGAAGAAGTCTCCAGAACTTGTTACATGGGTGTTTTTAGTGTGGTTCATCTTCACACTCGAGTATAAAATAAGTTCAGCAAGCCGCGAACCAGAGTTCCAGATCCCAGTTCAGGTCTCAGCCCTGCCAGATGTGACTTTTTGGGTCTCACATGTGTCATTCAGTTCATGTTATGCCTGAAATTTTCTTTGTCTTCCTATGGTGGTCAGGGGGCCATATCTGAAGGTGGATTGAAACCTGTAAGCAAGTTATCTAAGGAGCTAAGCAGGCTCTAGGGTGTGACATATTGATAGGGTAAAGACATAAATCTCATTGCTGAGATGAGGAAAAACCTTCTCAACATTGCCACCCAGACATGCAGAGAGGAAAGACTTCACAAAGAAACAAAGTCCTCTCTGATACAAAATCAGGATCACCTATGAATAGTTTTACCTTGCAGTCCTGAGTGGTCTACACTCCACCCACATGGTGCACAGGATCATTTTGAGACCAGTGACTCAGACTGCCAATGGAGTGGATCCAGAAACTGACATCAGCCTTAACATGTCCAGCTGTTGTTGTTCACTGAGTTGAAGACTCATGACAGAACAGTGTGAACTCCCTTGTGTTCCCAGGGGCTTAGGTGGAATGAAAGCATAATATGAATTTGCAGCAGAAGAGCCTCTGTTCTGCATCTCCATTTTTTTGTGCAGAACTCAGAGCCCTCTGGAAGTTCACAGATGCTCTTTTGTCCACTCCAAGTGGAACAACTGAGATCTTTATCCATCAAAGCCAGCATTTCAGAGGTGACTTCTTGTTTACAATGCTTCCAAACTTCCACCACCATATTAAATCATTGGGTCCTGAAGTTTTAGATGTAGAGCTCTCAAACTAAAGGACTCATGGCAGGGACAGGACATTCCTGCTAATGTACCTCCAGCAATCTGAACAGAGTATGACAGTTTTGTGTTCCAGCAGTCACATCACAACCCACTACCAGATATCTCTTTGGTGAACCACTTACCCAGGTGATAGTTAATCATACTTCTCCAGAGGAGAAGTTGGCCACAAATTGCTCCACCTGGATGCTTTTCTCCTCTGTTTGCTGACTCTGTAGCAGACCTGTGCTTCTCTTCAGAGGTTCCCACCTCTTCTGGTCCTGACACAGAAAGGGACTTCTGGGGAGACTCTCCTACAATCGAATCCGTCCAAGGAATTCTCAGACAGAAGAAATAGGAGCATGAGCATCTTCCCCTCACTCTATAATTTGAATTCCTAGTCTATTCTACAACTGCATGATCTCTGAATATCTGGAATGTTTGTGGTTTTCTCCACGAGATCATTCTCCCCACTCCTCAATTCTTAAGGTCCACTGTGAAGACACAATTGTTCAACTAAATGCACCTAAATGCATTTCTCTTCCACCTCAAGTTCTCAGCCCTTGTTGCTCAATTCTTCAAGGCCTAACAGATCTCCTATGATTTTTTAACCTCCAACTTGTCTTAAAACCCCCACCATTCGAATACCACCACACAATTCCTGCGGAAGGAAAAACTTTGTAAAACACATTGCAATTCAATTCATCATGCATATAATTGAGACAGGTTTTTTATTAATTCATCAGTAGCTGCTAATGTACTTGGGATACTGAAACGGAAAACTGTTCACAAAATTAAAACATACCAAAATAACTCACCTACAGGAATTTAGTTTTTAACCACAATCTGTCAAACCTACCACCTGTTTCACAAAGGGGACCAGAGCAGGTGATCTTTCTGCCAAAAGCAGTGAATCTTTTTCTTTTCTGACCACTATCTGTAGACATGAAAGCCTGCTTTCACAGCAGAGCAGATGCAGCTTGGCTGCAACCATGACCACTTCTCATCATCCTGCCTGCAGCTCCAAATATGTTTGCTCTCCTTAACCATGGAGACATCGGTATCTCTAGGGATGCTATTAGCTCCTGCTAAGTGGGGCTATTGTGAACACTGTTTGATCTAGATCTGGTCATCACATTTATATTTTACACAGACAACTGGATAGCCTTATGCAAGAACAAAAATGCCTGCTGTCTTCTCAGCAGTTCTTTTCTGTTCCTGGAGGAACTCATTCTCTCGTCTATGTAAAGCCCCTGTTGCTCTGGGTTCTCCTGGCAAGGATTCACCAGCATCTTTGGTAGCATCTCTGCCCTTTCATACAGAAACAATGGCCAGACCATCTCTCACTAAAGACCTGGATGGATTAGGAGTGAGGGGAAGCTCTTTCTCCCATGTGGTATTATCCATGTACAAAGAAAACTATAGCACAAACGTTACTGACAAAGCTGCGGTCCTACAGGCATCACTGAACACCATGTGGCTCAGCCCTCCATCACTCTGCACAAAGTCAAGGGGATCTGATATTTTTTAGACATTCAATGTTCAAAGTTTATTTCGATCCACATAATTTCCAAACAATCCCCTGTCTTCTATGGATGCTCACCCACACAGTCTGACTCTCAATACTAGAGCTTGATAAAAAAGAATGTCTACCATGACAGTTATTTCTAGTCATAGTTAAATCAGTTTTCACAAAGAAAGAGAGAATATCAAAGATGGGAGGACACAACACCCATCCCACCACCAGCATAAATGGCAAAATTTCCATAGAATGAACTAATTCATCTGCACAACCCATCAAATTAGGAGTGTTTTTAAATAGTCTCTTGACTGAGAATTGATG